ACCACGCGGCGCAGGTGCGCGGCCCCACGCGACGGCGGGTCGGGAGAAAACGCATTTGCAGCGAGAAAAATTAAGGTTTTTAAGGCTGACGTGGAATTTGGGAAGAGGTCGGTGGGACAGCCACAGGCAAATGTGCAGCGAGACGTGGCGATAAGGTTCCAGCCGGGAGCCTGAGGAGCGGGGGTGCGGGCGTGTCCCGGGCGGGGCGAGCTGAGTGCGGGCAGTTCCCGCGGGGCCCCAGGAGGCGCGGGGACGGGCGGCGGGAGCTCCGGCTGAGGTCAGGCTTCAGTTGCGCCGCAGCGGCTGCGTCGGCTGCGACCAGGGGCAGTTACTGGGCCCAGACCCCGCATTTCCTCCTGGGGAACTGGAGCAACGATGTCATTTCACAGCTACTTCGTGGGGTCAGCTAAGGACTGTCGGGGTAGGCAAACCACCTTGCTACTGANGTCCTGGGCGCAGAGCAGCGCGGCTGCGCCTTTGGGTCCTTCCGAGGCCGGCGGTGGAGGCTCGAAGGCGGCCTCGGGTCCTTTCCGTTCCCCGGTCGTCAGCCGGGGGCTGGAGCAGGCCGTGTGGAGAGTAGAAGGACGTTCCCAGGAGGCCAGCGGTCTGCCCCCTGGAGGTTTGTGGTCATCAGTTTAAAGTGCAGCCAGAGCATCTGGTTTTGCAACGGTCTCGGCCACGTTAGCTCCTGAGCTCAGGGCAGGACAAGGTGGATAGGAGGCTCCTTCAGGACCGGGTTTCCCACGGGAGCAGGAGCCAGGGAACCTGGAGTGTGTCGTGCGGGAGCGACCATGGCGATGGGCCACCACACCTGCTCAGCCCAATGGAGGGAGGGACGAGGGGGCCAGACCCCGGGAAAGGCCGATGAAGTGCTCGGTGAAGTGCGGTCTCCTGGGTACCTCGGGTGAGCTGCAAGGGCGGGCGGGGAACATGCATAAGAGTCCTGCTTGACACTGAGGTCACAGGGGCCACGCCCAGGCGACCGTGACAAGGGCTGCAGGGTGAGCTGAGGGCAGTGGCTAAAGGTCACGGAGGAGCTGGGGTGCAGGCAGCCCTCGCTCTGCATAGCACAGGGCTCCAGAATGACCACGAAAGATCGCCGGGTATAAAAGCCTATGGAATTTTGTGATAATTTAGTGCAGTCACTGGAAACAAGAAAAACTTTGAGAATTAGTGTTTCATTTCTTTGTAAAACTACTAAGAACAGTGTGAACTGTGTGCCTTCTCACCCTGACCTGCACTTTCCATGCCCTGGACAGGTCATCAGCTCCTGCCTAGGTTTGGATTGGGTTCAAACATTTTATTTTTGCCTTTTCAATGCTGTAAAACACCTCCAAGTGTTTCTTTAAAGCAAAGCATTTACCCACATCACTCCCCAAACATCTCCATCCTTCCTTCACGACCACGGCTGTAACCAGCCTGTGATTTCAAGCAACTCCCGGGTCTGGGCGAGCGGCTTTCCAGGCAGCTCACCGCTCAACTCCTGTCGACTTATAAACGACGGAACTGGGCTTCACTGGCAGCAACAGGCTGTTTTCCGTCTCTGTAATTAGTTTCCTTTCAGCATGGCTACTAACTCCAACACTTTGGCCTGAATGCTGAGATTTTTATTTTATTCGTCTCCTATCCAAAGTAGAAGTCTTTCTCGGCCATAGCAGTTTTCTGCTCCTAGAGCAACTTAAAGGATGTCGGTGCAACTCTACCTTGTTTTTCCTACTCCTTGGACTTTCTCCCCGTGGTTCTGACAGCACCTCCAGCCAGGTTAGGTCTCGTCCCATCTCAGCTTTGTTGTTACCATTTTCAAATGTTTTTTCATCTCACTTCCAGCATCATCACTTATGTATTTGGTGTACTTTCATCTTTTTTGTCCAATTCCCTCTTTTAAAGGTCCATTTTTGTAGAACAGCACGTGGATTTGTCATGGGAGATGAGACCAAACAACCCCACGTGTGGCTGTCTGCACTGTGAACTGAGCAGCAGAAAGCAGACGTGCAGGGACCGTGACTGACAGACTGAAAACAGGATTGGAGTGCCATCTGTCATTTACATGGTGACATTTGGACAGAAGAGCGAGCGGTGGAGTTTGTCCTTTCTGAAATTATTCAGTGTACTGTGGTAGTTGAAATTCTAACCATGTTGTTAGGGGGCCGCTGTTATTTAACTAACACTGTGGTGACTAAAATCTGTACACATCAGAACTGTGCAAGGCGAGGACAGCCCTGTTGGATGATTGCATGGATATTGAAGTCACAAAGACTGATGGCAGGAGCTGAGTGGAGATGAAGCTTGTGATATGTAGCTCGAGTCCTCAAGCTGTGAGAAGGAACCACCAGGGGACTGCAGGCCACAGTGACACCCAGAGGTAAGGACTGTATATCCAGACAGCATACGTTTCCAGGAGCTGGAGTTCCTAAGGCAGAGGAGCTGCTACCCTACCTCTTGGCTCCGAGGCATTAGGAACTGGGAGATAAACCAGCTCTCACCAGAGAGGGCTGCAGTGGGACTCTCCTCAGGGAAAAGTCAGGAAAGAAACTCAAAATACATCCAGAGGGGAGAGACTAGGGAGAGAGAGGAATTCCATGAACCAAGGAAAGGACGGTCAGTAACCTGCTGTCTGAGAAGCAGCGAGTTGATTTGGGATGTTCAGATTTCTATAGTGACAAGTTAATTTTGAGTCACTTCAAAAACACAGAGTCTATAGGATTTAACAAGTAAATATATATGGGGTTGGGAGAATGGCAAGAGAAAGAGCGGAGCTAAAGGTAACTCACACACATCGAACAACAATAACAGGTAGCATTATGACGTAGTGTGCTCTGGGGCTATGCTAGATGCTGGGCACAAGTGCTTGACGATATATTACCTACAATTCACACACGGATATGGTACTAACTTTAGGAACCAGGTACAGTTCTCATTTTACATACAATTATAGCTACATGGTGGTTGGTCATCTCAAATACGAGGCAGTATATTTTACAACCAATTTGTCCTGACAAGTTCAACAGGAAGGTACCTTACTTAACTTGTATTATGTCAAAAATCTGTTATTTCTAATTTTTCTGTGACAAGTTAGCAGCTGAGAGCCCCCGTTTTGAAGACTCCTTAGGCTGCAGCTCTCATGTCTGTGCTGTGTGGTACGGAACTGTGAGCTCTGGATCAGCCAGTCATCACAATACGCACGTAAAAGAAAAAGCCTCTGCCTTCCTATCTTCCTGTCTGCAGATTACTCAACTAATGGGCATTGTGACTACCCATTACCTTTGACATGTTTCAAGTTCCAAGTACAGGCATGTTTTCTTTTATTGCACTTTATTGTGCTTTGTAGATACTGTGTTTTCATCAACATCAAAGCAGGACCCTCTGCCAGCAAAAAGGTTACAACTTGCTGAAGGCTCACATGATGGTCAGCATTTTTTAGCAATAAAGTATTTAATTAAGGCAGGTACATTGTTTTTTGGACATAATGCTATTGCACACTTAATAGGTAGTATAGTGTAAATACAACTTTTATATGCACTGGGAAACCAAAAATTCCTGTGACTAGCTTTATTGTGCTACTCACTTTACTGCAGTGGTTGGGAACCAAACCCACAATATAGGAATCTTCTGGCTCCACTATAATCCTATGGGACCACCATCTTGGCATTGTTTTGCGGCGTGTGACCATGCAACCATGAAATCGCACAGGCTGTCACAGACATGACCGGTTGCCCACCCTTTGCTTCTATGCTAGAAAAGCTCCAATGTACAGCTGTATCTACTCTCTGCACATGGCCATGTGCTTCAAGGAAAAGGGGCTCCAGCCTCAGCCCCAGGGAGTGAATATGTCCAGTCTAGTTATGGGAACATGATTAAATTCTATCGACTTGAACAAATGTACATAGAAGTTGGCAGGGAGAGTCCGAAGACAGAACGAACCTGGATCCTTGATCAGATGCCTGGGAAATACAGTTTTCCTCTTTCTTAAAAAACAATTATGTTAGGTTTTTGGTTCTGGCATCTAAAAAAACGCCTAACTGATGAGTAGAAAGACTGACCGCACATTTGTAAGCATCTTGATTGGGGAAGGAGCCATTAGTTAGGGAAGTTAAGTATATTAACATTTTTCTTTAAAACTTGGTAATTCCCTACAAAAGAATGCACATAATGTATTAAAATACCATTGAAAATACATCTGTCTTTAGAAGTTTTCCAAAATGTATCTTAACATTTACTTAATTTGAAACAAAGCTGTGTCATAATTTCCTATAGTCAATTATAATTTTCTTAAATCTAAGAAGAATGATAACTTTCCTTTATTATATAATCTACTGTAAGCATTCACATATTCCTGTTTTTATATTTTGACATAAGAGTGTTAATAAATATGATAACTAGAAATATGAAGGTAAATCCAGTTTTTACTTGTCGTTAAAAGAGTACAATTAAGATGCTTCAATTGGAGATTAAAATATAGCTAATCAATACTCCTGAGGTTCACAGCCTGTAAATTTCATGTACTGGAGGAGCTGAGAGGAAACACTGTTTAGGACACATAAGGAGTTATTCACAGTAAAGAGCAAACACCAAGGCCAAGGCCACGTAAGTTTCTGTTTCATGCTGAGCTGCAACCCAGCTGTCCCATGCAACATCCCAGATCCACCGGCTGGAAACCTAGAGACATTTTTAAAAATTAACTTTAGACTGAACATGTTAAGTAATTTTAAAACCTACACAAGTTTGCTTTCTTTAAAGATGCATCAGTAGCATGTTAGAAAGTTCTATTTAACAAGAACTTTGCCCAATGGTCCCTTTCCTGAGGAGACTCAATAGTGATGCCTCCCAGTTCCACTTGCTCTTACCACAGCTGGTCACTGTCTAACAGAGAGGCCCATCCCAGCGGGATACCTGGGAAGGACCAGGAGGCTGTCTGTAATGTGGGTCTAGCAGCTCTGCATACAGTGCTACTCTGATGTGTTATAGTCCACCCTATAGTCCACTCTGCCCACCCTTAAAAGACTTTCAACTGAAAGTCTGTTAGGACCTTGTCTCAAAATGAAGAAAAGGCACTGATTATAGAAGTGGCTGCTCCTGTGCTTTGCTCACAAAGCCCACTTTTCTGTGTGCATCTAAAATGGCCACAGATCACTTCTGGCTTCTCCCATCAAGAGGTTGAGTCTATCCCCACCCACCTCCCAACTCACCCCCAGATACTAGTTGGCACTGGAACTTGCTTTGAGCAAAATGTGACATTGTGCAACTTCTAAGCCAGGCCTTAAGAGGTCATCTGCTCTCACCTTCTAGGAACACTGTGAGGAGACAGGCCCCCACACATGGAAGCCCATCTGTCTGGAGGATGCTGGCTCATGTGCAAGAGAACCCAGGTGCCCAGCCAACAGCCAGCACCAACTGTCAGACACATGGCTAAGGCCATCTTGGACCTTCAGGCCTAGCTGAGTGACCAGGTGGCTGCAGGCACCTCCGTGAGACCAGGAGAAAAAACAAATGGCTAATCCAGGCTGAGCCAACCCACAGAATGGTGAGCACAGGCATAGCTGAGGTTTTAAGCTGCTGGACTCCGGAGTGGGGTGTTGTGCTATGATACTACTCCACACACATCACCCCACCCTCCGCTGCCTAAATGCCCACAGCCACACTGGCTATTACTCAAGCGCACAGTTCACCCCCTGAGCACCTCTGCACTCCATGCTGTCACTGCTTGGCAGTTCTCCCTGACATTTGGCACAGCGGGTTTCTCCTTGGCATTCGGATACCAGGCTCCTTCTCAGTCTCCCAGGCAATCCATTCAGTCACTGTCACTCTACCACACTGCCTGCCCTAATTTTCTCTTGAGCACTGTCACCACCTAGAAGCTTCCCATTACTGAGGTGCATACAGTGTGTGGTGGTAATCCTCTTCTCCGCGGGAGCCACCTCTACCTTGCTGCCTGTCATGTGGCCAGCAAGCCTCTGCCTGTCAGGTCCTCCTCGAGGAAGCCTCGGCGGACTGTACCCAACTATTATTTATGATCAACTCATTAGAAATTTACACAATCTAGTGGGACTGCACTTTTATTTGTAAATAATAATAATCTTGCTGTTTATTGAGGAGTCTGTGCTGGGGAAAATGTTAAGGATCTTAATGCAGTTAACCTCGTTTGGTCCTTACAGTGACTCTAGCAAGTAGGTCTTATCATCACCATGTTAGATGAAAAAACCATGCCCCGGCCACAGCAGTGAGTGCTGCTGCCAGGACTCATATCCAGGCCAGACGGGCTCCCAAGCCTAGGCTCTTACACTGTCTGCATTATTTTATTTTCTCATTTCTGAGCTGTGTTGCTTCATTTCCTTGACTAGAGTAAAAACTCTTTGCCTTATAATTCTGTTAATTTCTTGAATAGCTAACACCCGTTAATACCTAAAATAAATTTAGTGGTTAATTACTAAATGACAATAAATTGTCAAAACAGGATGATTAATAAATAGGCTATCTATACAATTTAAAAATTTATCAATAGAAAATTGTCATTTATAGGTTAGTACTTTTTAAGTAATTATGGTGAAAGAACATAAATTTAACACAATTATCTTTTGATTATCCAGAGGCACCAAAGGGCCTTGACATGCCCTGGAGCCATCACTACCTAGTGACAGGGCCAAGTGAGAGATGCCCAGTGACGAGAGAAGACAGACCTCATAGTTCTGATAAATGCTGGATCAATGGGGTACTTACATTTATTGCCTGACCAGCCTTTTGAATAAATAATACCTTTATAATGAACTTATAACGCTGGTACCCAAGTTCTTTGACTGCTGACAATATGCGGTCTGCTAATTCAAGGGACAAGTGAGAGAAGAGCTTGTCATCATACTTGACATCTTTAAGACTTTCCTTTAAAAAATTTAAAAAATATATTTTAATTTTCAAGCCAAATATTTTCTAAACAAAAATTCAAGTAAAAAACATGACTAAATAACACATATAACTTTTTAGCCAAGTAATATTAAATACATGTCATGCTTACCAATTTATTTCAATAACAATTTTGAAGAAAACTTACTTTGGTTTTTAATTATGTTCAATTCCTCTTCATTAAGCTGTAAGTTTCCCTTCATTAGATTATTCTTATCAGACAACTGGGGAGACATGAGGTGGGGTTTAAAGGAAAGCTTTTGGGAATTCTTAGGTAGAGGAAACAAATCTTTTTAAAATTTACATATTTGGCCCTGGCCAGTGTGGCTCAGTGGTTGAGCATCGCCCATGCACCAAAAGCTCTCCAATTCAATTCCCAGGCAGGGCACATGCCCAGGTTGCTGGCTCAGTCCCAGTAGGGACTGCAGGAGGCAGTCAATGGATGTTTCTCTCTCATCAATGTTTCTGTCCCCCTCTTCCTTCCTCTCTCTCTAAAATCAGTAAAAACATATTTTTAAAACATATACATACACATATTTGCTAAAACTCAACTTTGGGTTATCCTAAATCCGGGTTACCTGGGTCCAGAGCTGATCAGGCATTCCTGTCTTCCTTGTCTCCTAGGACTGAAGCCCAGTTCTTCCTAACCTCTCCCTACGGCTTCCCACTTGGTTGAGGAGGAAGCCAAGAACATCAAGGCTTCTCATCACACTTGTTAATTAATGTACAACAGTGGCACCAGGTGTGGGCCATGAAGCACTACACTTCCATATAAACCATAAGCTACCTGGACCATCTAGCGAGCAGACGGCACATGCTCTGACTGACTTGGACCAGTGATACAGTAACCAATGTTCTGGGTTCTAAGTGATAGCAGGTGGACTCCCAGATAATTTCACAGGCATGTAAAACCAAAGAACTAGCCCTTTCTTTGTTTTGGTTCCCTTCTAGAATGCTCTGGATCTAAAACGGGGTCCAGAAGCATTGTTTTCCCTCAGGCACTTGGCTGTGGCTCTATCTTTTGGACACTTAGCAACATCCACTCTCTCTTCTGAATCTGCCTAACATATCCCAGGCTTTATCTACCTAAGCCTTTTCTTAAAATAACTAATGAGCACCTCCTATAGAAAGAGACCCACGAGCTCCATCAATATGTACTCTTTCTGCATCTTGAGTCCCTGAACTCAAGGGGAAATCCCTGACCTCTTTATGACCCCGGGCACCCACCTACATACCCAATAAGCTGTTCCAGGCCCTGTCAAGCCCTATGAAATTCTATATATTATCAAATTAAACAACATGACTTGAAATCCTACTACATTCAATAAATCTGAACTCAGTCTATGGGGTAGAACTGACTGACACACCAAAATGTACACTCTCACGTCACAAATGCTTGCCATTAGTGCTTAGGTCAGAGAGGAAGGTAATCAATAGCTATTTTATTGTATCAAAACTGAGTTGAATTTATTTCCCAAAGCCACGAGCTATACTTTGTCAAACATCATCTTACAATTAGTCAGTTTAGACATGGATCTGTGTCTCTAACAATGGAGAGAATGGGGTTAGGCTGGGTGGGGTACCACAAAGGGGATCTACTCATCAGGAGACCCCTAGTGCCTACTGCCCAGAACTAGAGGCCAAAGATGACAAGGAGACTCAGACAAGGTGGTTCCCCCAAGCAAACGTCCCATAATAAAAAAAAACAACCTATAATTTGGTCCTTTATCAAGAAAGAAGGTGAAGGGAATTCCTGCAATCTGAACAGTGCAGCCTTCAGATACCAAAACAAGTATCACTCATGTTGGTGTTAATAATAGTATTACAGAGTTAGTTTTGTAAAACTGAGCAACTGTTTTGAACAAGTCTGGAATCATGTCTGAGTTTCAAACAACGGTCTTAAATGAATTTTATGTTCCATTCAGTTTAAAGAAGAGACCAAGCTGGGGCTGGCCTGTTCTTCAGATGTTCCAGCAGAGTAAGGAACTGATTTTTCACACATACACAGAACACTTCAACGTGTTCTTTTTTACTCATCCCTCCAATTGTGGGAGAAACATGGGATCAGCAGGATAAATAACATATGGATATTTAAGAGCTAAATGAAGTAACAAAAGCGTTTCCCTTTAATCCAGCTCATTGCATCAGTGGGAAGATATCCACTACAAAGGACTGCCGTACTTTCAGAGATAAGTGCCATAAAATAAAACAGTAATTATACCGCCATAAATCTGAACATAGTTTATCAAATCCATAAAGCTAAGATACTGCTATCATATGTCTATCAACCTACCTTTAATACCTGCTGGACTTTAGTTTCCACTAGGTGAGCTTGGAATTTTTTCAGTGGCTCCATTCTGTATGAATTGGCAAACTTTAACTTTGCCAGAGCACTCCTCCACTCTTTCCCTAGGTCAGCAATGGAGTCATCGAATGGAGGCTCTATGTACTGAACGTCATGAGATGATTCTCTCAGTCTTTCTCTTAAAATCTGTGTATACTGAAAGAAAGAGGTGGGGAGAGGTTATTTTTTAAATTATGAAATAAAATTTTAGATTTAAGGACCCTGGTGGAATGGGGCAGGGCTGACACAAAGCTCAGAAATCCATTATAACACATTTCTATAATGTGGTTGCTAAATCCTAGATTCGCTGATTCACCCCTTGCTGTCAATTTCATAAAAAATCAAAATAGCTATCACATACCTATTATCTATAAACAAATCTGCATGCATATATTTAGAATATCTATAAAAATGCAAAAGAACTAGAAACAAGTGTCTTGCAAAGAGGGCAGCTGAGTGGCTAGGAGACAGGTATGTAAGGAAAACCTTTTATGTTCTTTACCAAGACTGTAAAAATAGTTTTCTTCATTGTCTCCTTACATTTTTAATCATTTTACTTTCACTTATTTACCTTTGAATAAATAATACAATTACTTAGGTAGCACTTTCACAAGTACGAAGCTGAAAGATAACAAAGGTGTACTGACTTGGTATGCACACCATCCATGCTTTCAACATTCAACATCTATTCTGAGTCAACACTCTGAGGAAATATTTACACAGGCCTAACATGGTCCAGGTACATGAGCTAGGTGTGAACTGCAGTGGTGAACTTCATTTAACAGCCAGGAATTAACTGTTGTACTTGCACTAGTCATCAAGGACTCTGCATTCATGGGGTTACCATTCTAGTGTGAGGAGGGCTGAGAGACAATAAAAAAGTACATAGGAAATGAATAAGCTAATTTAATTTAAATAGTGGTGATTGCTATAAAAATAATGTGACCAGATAGAAACTGGTGTGAGGGGCTCATTTCCACGGAGTGACCAGAGAAGGCCCCTCTGAGGTAAGGTCTGGGAGGAACTCGGAGAACAGGAGACAGGAAGGCAAAGCCATCAAAGCAGGAACTTAGGGTGCTCTCAGGACAGACATGGGTCAGTGTGTCTGTAGTGTGTGCAGAGACAAACATGAGGCTAGAAAGGCAACCAAGGAGGAGACGGGTAGGACCGAGTGGGACGTGGTAAGGAGTTTGGATTTCATTCACGGACAACGGAAGCCCGCACAAGGATTAGGCAGGTGATGTTACAAATGTTTTAGAAGATCATTCTGGCCACTGCATGGTGGGTAGATGAAAGGGCAATCAAGGCCTGAAGGCAGTAACTTTATAATAGTTTTTACAAGTAATGTTAACTACAAAGAACTTCATAACTGAAAGTTTCTGCTGCCTCGAGGCTCTGGCTAGGGCTCTCGGTACTATGTAAACAGTGGTGAGAGTGCATCCCCGTCTTGCTCCCGATCTTTGAGGAAAAGCTTTCAGCTTTGACCACTGAGTATGTCAGCAAGAGACTGGTCACATATGGCCATTATTATGTTGATGTATGTTCCCTCTATACCCAGGTTGTTGAGTTTTTGTCACAACTGGATATTGACTTTGTACGTCAAATGCTCTTTCTGCACCTGAGATGCTCAAACGATTTTTCTTCATTCTGTTAAAGTGGTGAATCCAATGGATTGGTTTGGGGGTGCTGAACAACTCCTGAATCCCTGGAATAAACCTGCTTGATCATGATGTATGATCTTTTTATTTTTTATGTATGATCTTTTTAATATATAGTGGAATTCAGTGCGCTAATATTTTTGTTGATAATTTTTGCATCTACATTCACTGGGGATATTCGTCCGCAACTTTCCTTGTGGTGTCCTGTGAGCAATGCTGGTGTCAGGGTATGATGGCCTCACAAAATGGGTTGGGAAGGGTTCCTCTATTTTTTGGAAAAGTTTGAGGACAGCCATTAATTCTTCTATAAATGTTTGGTAGAATTCACCTCTGAAGCCATCTTGTCCTGAACTTGGGCTTTTGATTACTGTTCAATTTCCTTACTACTTGGTCTTTCAGATTTATTTTTTCATTATTAGTCTTAGAAAGCTGTGTTTCTAAGAATTTATATTTTTTCTAGATTGTCCAAATTGTTGATCATCGCCCGCAGTAACCTTTTATGCTCCTTTACATTTCTGTGGTGTCAGCTGTCACGTCTCCTCTTTTATTTCTGATTTCACTTGGGCCCTCTTTCTTCCTGGTGATCCTAGGTAAATACTAGTCGATTTTGCTTATCTTCTCAAAGAACCAGCTCTTGGTTTCATTGACCTTTTCTACTTCTTTTTACTATTTCACTCACTTCCACTCAGATCTTGTTAGTAACTTTTGGCTTCACTTCTTTTCCTAGTTTCTTGCAGTATAAAGTTAGGTTGAGGTTTTTCTTGTTTCTTGAAGTAGGTATTTACCATTACGAACATCCCTCTTAGGCTGTTTTTGCTCAGCCCATAAATTTTAGTGTTGTATTTCCATTTTCATTTGTGTCAAGACATTTTTTGATTTTTAATTTCCTTCTTCACACACTGTTCACATATTGTTCAATCTCCACATTATGTATGAATTTTTGTTTTCTTGTAACTGATTTCTAGTTTCGTAACATTGTGGTATGAAAGGTGCTTTATGTGAATTTCCTTATATTTATTAAGACTTGTTTTGTGGCTTGATATATGATTTACCCTGGATTGTTCCAGGTGCATGGAAAGGAATGTGTATTCTGCTGCTTTCGAACCAAATGCTCTGAATATAGCTTTTAAGTCCATCTAACCTAAGGTGTCATTTGAGACTGTTCCCTTATTGATGTTCTGTCTGGATGCTCTATCCATTGAAGTTAGGACAGGTATAGAAGTCAGTTGTTCATGTTGTATTGCTGACTGTTCCTCCCTTTAGGTCTTTTAACATTTGGTTTATAAATTTAGATGCTCTTTATCTTGGAGAGCACCTACATTTTATTCTTTTTATATACTGTTGGATTTCATTTGCTATAATTTTGTTAAGAATTTTTGCATTTGTGTTAATGGGTAATACTGGTCCATTTTCATGTTACTACTCCATGTTTTTGTGTGTTTTTTTTTAATATATCTTTACTGATTTCAGAGAGAGGAAAGGAGAGGGAGAGAGATAGAAACACCAATGATGAGTCATTGATCAAGCCCACAACCTGGGCACGTGCCCTGACTGGTAATCGAACCCCGATCCCCTGGATCCTAGGTCGATGCTCAATCGCTGAGCCACACCCGGCTGGGCAACTACTCCATGTTTGATAGCAGGGTACTATTGGCCTCAGAGGACGAGTTGGTAAGAATTTCCTCCTTTTCAATTTCCCACAATTAGTAGAAACTCACTAGAAAAGCCATCTAGGCCTGGAGTTTTCTTTATGGGATGTTTTTAATCTATATATTCATTTTCTTTAAGATATAGGGGCTGTTCAGGACATCTACAGTAGTGTCTATGTATTAGTTTGCTAGAGTTGTCATAACAAAATACCATAGACCAGCTGCCTTAAACAACAGAAAACTTGCCCTAACTCTGGATTCTGGATGCTGGACGTCTCAGATCAAGATGCTAACAGGATGGGTTTCTCCTGAGGCCCTGCTCTTGCAGATGGATAGATACCCTCTTGCTGACTCTTCACATAAAAACTGTCCTGCTGTGCATGCTTGGCTCTGGTGTCTCTGTGTCCTAGTGTCCTCTTCTTACAAGGACACAGGACAGATGAGAATAGGGCACACCCTAACCAACTCATTTTAACATAATCACCTCACTGAGGTACTGCAGTTAGGTTTCAACATACAAAAACTAGGGGCACACAATTCAGTCCACAAGGGTCTTTCAAGTAATTTGTACATTTCATCCTAGTAGATGAATGTATGATCATAGTCAGTCTTGCATTTCCTTCTGATCCTTTTAATATTTATTCAGTCTGCAGTGATTCCCCCTTTTCATTCCTGGTACTAATCATTTGTTGTTGTTGTTTTCCTGATTAGCCTGGCTTGAACAAGGGTTGACAAACTTCTATTTTTTAAATATTTTAGACATTGTGGGTACATAGGGTCTTTGTCATTTCCCCTCCTCCTCTTCCTGACACCTTTCTTTTCTTCCCCTACCTCCCTCCATCCTTTTAAAATAACCCTATAAAAATACATACACCATTCTTAGCTCACAGGCTAGGAGCCAGATTTGACCCACAGCTTGTTTGCCAACCTCTGGGCTTGAGGTTTATGAACTTTCTTCTTTCCGAGACAGACGCTTGAGGCACTTCAGTTTGCCACCCTCATTCTGAATTAATCTCAGCCACTTTCTTGAACCACTCTGGGAATAGTTCACCTATTTAACCTGGTTTTGGTCTCTTCACAACATTGAGAGTGACTGACAGTAACAACAAAATGGTATCCAGTGGGGAATTAGTTAACTCTGCAAATGAAAATGGAGGTGCTACTGATAGGAAAAAACAATGGGTGCAGGATGGATAAAAGCAAAAAAGCAAAAGATGCTTGTGTTGATTAAATTGTGTCCCCTAATTTTTCCTTTGCTCAGGAACATGGGAATTATCGGCTACCTGGCAAGTTAGAAATGACTTGAAGTGCACTCATTGTCCTTGGATACATCTAGTGAGCATTTGTAGAATCCTTTCTTAGTCTCTTCCCAATTATTGGCCTATTCAAATTTCTTACCTCTAGAAGCTCTAGTTCAAAGACAGCTATGATCGATCACATCCATATCAAATACCCGACCACTGCCTCGGTTCATCCGTGTCCCCGTCGTCCCAGATTTGGGCCTATATACCAAGTGTACCTGTGCATCTCCTTTGGGTTCAGTCTCACTCATCTTTCATGGCCACTTCAGATGTTTAGCAAGCAGCAAGTTCATTAAGAGGCACCTCTGTCTGCCTCAAAATACAGAAGCTTTTTTACCTGCAGGTAACCTATGTGGTACACAGGCTTACTGCCAGGCAATAGAGCAGTTTCTGGGAGCATGAAATTTCAAGTACAACTAAGGTTTCTGGTCTTGCTCTGTTTTTCTTAGCTGTGTACACTTGGCCTATGTTTCCCCCTTCAGTTCATTCTTTCCTCTGTAAAACGCAGACACCGGAGAGCAGTCATTCCAACCTGAATGTTGCCATGACTTTTATTGAGGATTCTTTTTGTTTGAAATACATTAGGATCTTCAAAATAAGTGTTTTCCGTGTTCTCTCTCCTTCATTCTATCAATTGTGGGTTCCATGAAGTAGGTGTGAAGGGACCAGAAGAGCGCTAGTCTCAGCTCTCTCATTACAGTTTTGTATTCTTGGAAACATCATCTTTCTGTTCAAGTGTCAATAAAAGACGGCGTCGTGATTACAGTAATGGTTTTCAGACTCCAGTCATACAGAAATCCAGGTGCTGTATCACCAGTGAAACTGAAGGGCATTTTCCGTCCATTTCAGACGATAACTTAATGGGCATAATATCTTCAACTACATGCTTTTCTCCTGTAAGTTGTTCAAATATTGAGTCCGCCGCTGTTTTTAAAAACTGAAAACACCTACTTGTTCTGCCCAGTATATCGGTTATGTTCTTTGTTTTCTAAGTATGTTCCGCGCCCGGGCCAGGGGGTGGACCAGTGACCTTTCGGTGCACCGCACGGAGCTCGACCACTGAGCCGCAGCGGCCGGCTGCCCCCTTCCTAACAGCAGCCAGGGCGGCGCCACGTTCCCTGAAGCTCGGTGCTTCTGGGCAGGACGCGGCGCTCTCGGGGAGCTCAGGGCCGAGGCGGCTAAGAAGTCTCGCGAGATCCGGGGAGCGGGAGACGCTCTCCTCCCTCCCAGGAACGTGGGGCCGCAAGGTCACTCCGGGACTCGCAGCCCCGCCGGAGGGGCCGCGCCGCCCAGGCCCTGGGCCCGCTTCGTGGCGGGAAGG